AGCTATGAGCACCCCCTCTCGCCCGATCCGAAGATTGGCCTCTACGAACCGTGATATCCGTTTTTGAAAACATTATGTGTTCTCATGACAGGACAAAACATGTTGAGATTGATCGCCACTTCATTAAGGAGAAACTCACTAGTGGTACCATTTGTACTCCTTTTGTCCAGTCTGGTGAACAACTTGCTGACATTCTCACCAAGGGGATTGGGAATAAACCATTTCATGACATATTAGGCAAGCTGGGCATGAGAGATATCTTCGCACCAGCTTGAGGGGGAGTGTTAACATATTATATTAGCCGAAAGTGTTGGCATATTATATTAGCCGAAAGATACACTAGGGTCTGTAATCATTGTGTGCCCTCAGGGATCACCTTGTAATTGTCTTTCTTGTAAACCCTAATCTTCATTTATAAATAGGGGGTGATATTCTATCTTACCCCAAGCTGGTTACCCAAGCTTCACAACTCATATGTGCAACAAAGTTGTTGCATTCCTCACAGCAACACACCCAAGTTTCTGGATCTCTCTCTGTCTCACAAGCATCGCAGTAGTACTTGAGGGCGAGTTCATGCCTGTGCGATTCAATTTCAATGTAGGTGGTAGGAGTTGGAGAGCACATAAAGCATGTAGGGTAAAGTCACATTAGCCACATTTAAATTCAAAGCTTTTAATAGATCTTTTGCAGGCAATACACTTGGAAGCATCCAAATAGGGATTACAATGGCGTAGAGTAAGCAAATGCTCATGACTTTTGTGTTTAATTTCCACTTGTGTATGTAAAGCACAATGAACATGGATGACAAACTTGCATTCTGCGTAATTGAAGAAGAAACCATTTCCAGGAGTGGCACAAACAGTACAATAGAAGATGCCATTGTTGAAAGGTGGTGGAAGGTCCACTGATGGGTTGAGAGGGTGTTGATGGTGTTGTGGGAACATAATTGGATGAGGCAATTCTAGACAGATTTGTGAAGAGAAAATTTATAGTCTGTGGGCCTGAATCTGATATGGCTAGTTGACAACCATTGCATCTTTCAACACCGGCTTGCTCATCCAACAATGCTAATGAATGCAAGTGGCTAAAATGATTTACTAGTTCCAGCACCAGTGGCATCTCACTTACTTCTATCTCTTCTTCCTCACCTCTCTCATCTTCTTCTGGTATACTATAAGGCTGGATGGCATAAATAAGTCATATGGCACATCCAAGATCAAGGTTGTAGACAAACTTGAAACATTGGTAGACAACTTTGCTTCGATTTCGTGACTTTGATGCTTAAGGGCGGTTTCTCTTGATTTCATATATGGGGATGGGTTACCCTCACAAATACAACTCATATGGGCAATGAATTTGCAATCAATACAGTAGTATGCCCATCCCTTACACTCTCTCTGCCTGCTACAAACATTACAGCAGAATGCCTTCAACATTTGTGCAATAAGGTTAAGGGGATGGGGATGGGGATGGGATTCACCTTTGACTATTGTAGGTAAAAGCGCACATTCAACACAAACAACGATATTACAGCGATACTCAACATAATGATAGGCTACATAATTCACCACTGTCTTTCCACAGGCACAACAAAGAAGATCAATGACATTGGATAGATTGAGTTGGTTCTCGCAATTTTTGTGTGTAAGGGTGAACGGTTTGTTAAACACACAATCGACATGGTAGACAGAGAGACACTAAGGACAATGGTAAGAGTAGCCATCACTAGGAGTGGAACAAATTTCACATATAAACACATCATTGAGATAAAGTGGAGTAGGTGGTAGTGCAAGGAGGTGTTGGAGTAGATGGTGAACTGGGTGTTCAATCTCATCGTGTAGCTCTATATATAATTCATGGACGAAACACTTGCAATTAGTGCAACTATAGCTCGCACCTAAGATTGGTAGTTGACAGACATTGCGGGTGTGTTTGGTTTGGCTTTGTAAAGTGATTTTGGAAAAAATTTTCTAAAAAACTTGTTTGGTTTGTAATTTTTCCAAAACAATTTTCAAAATCATTTTTTCTCTCATACACATCAATCAATCACTTTTTCTCTCTCCTCTCTCATTCTCAATCACTTTTTCTTTCACACGCATCTACACAATTACAACAAAATATCAAATCATTCCAAACTCCAAAACTCCAAAACTACTTTCAAAATACACAACCAAACAAACCAAAAAAATTTCTAAACTCTCTCCAAAACAATTTTTAAAAACTACTCTCTTAAAACCAAACCAAACATACCCTGCATCTTTCACCATTCCATTGCAGTACATCTGAGAACTCCAATGGATGTTGGTGGCTCTGTTTGATGTCCATCATTCTCCATTTTTTTATCGTTTGCCTGCTTTCTCTCTGTTATTCTCTCTGTTTCTGTTGCTTTTAATCTCTCTTCTTTAATTAATTGGCACATCAAAGGCATTTTTGTGGCACAATTGATGCCAATGTTGTATCTGCAGTCTCTACAAGAATAACAAGGGTGACGAAAATGAGACTGTATGCAAGCGCGGCAATTGATACGACCACGCACCATCAAGGTGAGAATATGATCATGAGTTCCATCTCTGAATGTTGTTTCCAATGATGACTTCATTGGAGGAATCAGTTGAGATGGTGGGAAGAAAACACATGATGTGTGAGTAACAAAGTCACACCTTTCTACATAGAAATAGAACAATCCATTTGGGTACCTGTTTGCACCCATTTTCGTAAATTTCCTATCAACAGGTGGATCAATTAGATGGTGACATGTGGCAAGGTCAAAGTAAAAGTTTTTCATTAGTTAAAGAGACAAGTGGCATTAGAGTAGTTGATCATGTACGTGGAGTGGCTCAAGTGATGGAGCAGTTATCAAGCTAAGACATAGATTTAGTGGGTTGCCTGCAAAAAAGATCAAGGGCAGAGTGAAGACTTGGCCCTGTCAATGAGGGGCCAAAAGTGTTAAGGGACACGTGGCAACATGGAGGAAAGACAAGTCGACAGGTAAAGTTGAAGGTTAATGATGTTTGTTTGTTGAAAGGGTTATTGCCAATTTTATTTTATTTTATTTTATTGTATACAACTCTTCAAGGATTCAAGACTTCTCATTTATGGGCCAAAGAAAGATGGAATGATATAAAAGCCAAGGATTTTGCAAGGAGGAGATGATCATCAACACAACAACAACTTAGTTTTATCTTAGGAGTAGTTCTGTAACTTAGGAGTAGTTTCTTTAGTAGTTTGTAACTGGTAACTCTTGTAAACTTAGATAATTTCATCAAGAGTCTTTGTTTATTTTGTTATTTTTCTTTCAATTGTTAATTGTTCCAAAGAAATCCTTATACTTTCAAGACAATTTTAATCAAATACACAGTTGCTTGATCTGTTTGTTTGATTGTTTGTGTGAATTATTGTTTAATTCCTATCGATTGGGAATAAGCATAATTTTTACTAACAGTACCGCTTTTCTTCACAAGCATCACAATTGCACTCCTCATCCTCATCCCCGGGATTACCTTCAGTGGGCTGGGTTGCAAAATAGTGAGTTTGAGTTGATACCTGTCGGTCTTGTGTTTCCCTGTGGGTGACAAAAAAGCACAATTAAAGTCAATGGCTACGAAGTTCAGGACCAAGCAATCGCCCATGGTACACTGAAAGAAGAGGGGATAGCTTTTAGCTTTGCAGTGAATAGAAGTGGCATAATAATTAATTAAGAGAGTGAGTGGGTGGTCGTGACCGACATGTTGAAGGGTGGTTGGTATGCTGAGGGCACAGTGGGAGTTGAGGGCAAAATGGCACTCGGCACAGTAGAAGGAGAAGTTGTCATCACGAACATTCAGGCACAATTCCCAGAAGAAAATGCCACTGAAGGCTGGCGGTCAAGGTGGGTTTGCAAGAGTGAGAGGGTGATCAGGAGGGAGTGGGTAATGAATCTCATAGGGTAGTTCGACACACGATTTGTGGATGAAGAGTTTGCAGGTCATGCAACTATAGGTAGGCGCTAAGATGTGAAGCCCACACTCAGTGCAGTTTTCACCATTTAACAATTCATCGGACAGAGTTAAGGGATGCTCATGGATGAAACTTTTCAGCTTTAACATCCCACTCTCTCTACTTGTTTCTTCTCCTCCAGACATCTCTCTCTCTCGCTCTTTCTCTCTCTCCCTCTCTCTCATATCAATAAGAGGTTTTAAGTGCAAATTGTATCATGGCCAAACAAAACTCATCTCAACTATATGTTGGTCGCACCAAAAACGAGGAGGATGCAAAAACCAAGGGAGAAGTTAATGTTGTAGAAAGAAAGATCCTGTTTGCTTTGTCTGTGCTTTGATGAATTGGACTTGAACCGCTTCATATAGAAGACAGATCATTGACAATCCAAGGTTTAAAAAGAAATTTAAAAAATAATAAGAAAAGACTCTGCTCTCAAGTCGTATTCATGCGTATATCTAAACATATCATTCAGCGCTCAATTAGGAAGTCTGACAAGCCATGTTACATTAATGTGTATGAACTGTAATTATTTATTAAGTCTAATATTTATGGGACATGAGCAACTCTCACTCTCTCTCTCTCTCTCTCTCTCCCTTTATTTATCTACCTCCACCAGATAGCCTTGGCTGGGTCGAATAGCTAAAACAACAATGAGCAATGCTACTTTACATAGAATTTATACACGAAAAATACATAATATTTATTATGTAGTCTAAATCCATTTAAGATATGAGTTCCACCATAAAAGATTTGAAAATGAACCACATGTTATTTTTCGGGATATGATTTTGTACAAGGATTCCGGTGTATACATATATTTATTGAACAAACAATGAATATTAATCTACTAAGAACTTCAAACGAATTGGCGGTGATGTGGGTGGAGTGGCAGCAGTGACAGTGACAGTGGCGTTGGTGGAGGCAGCAGCGACGGTAGTGGCAGCAGCGGCGGTGAGGAGGTGGTGATGCGGTGTTGGAGGTAGTACTTGTCTTAGACGGGTACTCTCGTCCAACTCAATGAATTCAAAACAAGTTCTAAATTAGTGTTATTGGACAAATTCAAAGTTTCGAACTGAGTTTGCTACTCTAATAATCATTACAATATTATTCAAAGATCTGTACCCTAATTTGGTACAAAGTCAATTACATTGAGAACTAGAGAAAAACTTTTAATTTAGCAGAAATAATGCCTATGCAAGTTGAACCTCACTTGTGTTTTAAAAAGGGACCCACTGAGCATTTTAGCTAGCTTCTTAGTCTCACACCTGTGTTATACTCTTCTTTCCCCTAATTGAGCCAAAGTTTGAAATGTGAACACTCACACATCTTTGCTAGGTGCTACAAGTTTTGAAACAAATTCCTCAATGTTCTTATCAGAGCTTCCATCTTTGTCTACAGCCTCTTTAGCAAATCGTTTCCACTTGACAGCATTCTTTCTAATCTCATTCCCTCTCTCCCCCTCCATCACATCTTTTATACTCCTCTTTATCTCTTCTCTAGTAATAATTCCCTTGTCATTGACCTTAATCCGAACCCCTGTGTGCCAAACATCCACAATATACTTTGCATTAGTCGTTTGATCAGTCCATTGCGGCATTGCCACCATTGGCACCCCTAAACTCAATGCCTCCAGAGTCGAGTTCCATCCACAGTGAGTCATGAAACACCCCACGGCTTGGTGAGACAAAACTTCAAGCTGAGGACACCAACTCACAACAAGACCTTTCTCTAATGTCTCGGCTATGAAATTGTTCGGTAGCTTACTCTCTTCTGAAGCTCTGACAATCCACAAGAAGTTTGTGTTGCTGTTCTTCAAGCCCCATGCTAGTTCCTCCATTTGCTCTTGTCCTGCAGTGGCTAAGCTCCCAAAGGATACGTAAACAACTGAGGCTTTTTCTTTTGTGTCTAGCCACTTCATGCAAGCTTCGACATTGGGCTTGAAGAGATTGAGGCCGTAGTCTTTGTCATTCTCCAACCGCTTGTCTAAGTACATTGATGGAACTGTTGGTCCTACAGTCTTGATAGGCCATTGAGCTACCATCCAATTCAATACCTAGTAGACGAAAATTGGCAACATGTAAGTCGAATCATAAGTAGAGATAATTAAAGGATATGGATTGTTTCTAGTATCTATCTCTAGTTGAACAAATAACTGGACTGGTTCAGTTTAGACTTGCGAGCCCACCATAGGCACTAATTGGATAATTTATTTCATTCATTTGGGAACTATAAGTTTTGAGTGGGGAGTTTTTGGATATGGAGTTCACTATTTTGGACTAATTACAAGCTGTTCATTTGGGAAAGACTCAAATTTTCACCCAAAATACTTTGCCTCTTGTGCAAGGTTGAAAATGAGTCAAATTGAGCTGAGTAATAAGTTATTCAAGCTCGGTTTGATAACATAATTAGCTTAGAATTATGATCAAATTTGGCTTATTTATGTAATGAGTTGATATTAAACAAACTTTTAACGAGCCAAACACAAATCATGAGCGGTGCATATTAGTTTATCGAGTCAACTAGTAAATTGTTCAAATTTAATTTTAAAGTATAATAAAATTAAAATTGTATTCATATTTGACTGACTTATATAATGAGTGATCTTTACGAGCTTTTAACTAGCGAAATATGAAAATTTATCCAGCAAGATTGCTCAAAGTATAGAAATCATATCATCAAACAAATTGCTAACATGAACAAACAAAACATACCTCTTCTTCAAGCTTGTCAAAAGTGTTAAACAACAACCAATCCGCTTTCCTAAAATTCGAGAACTGATTCACCATGAGACTCAAAAAACTAGGGTACAAATCACAATCAGGTATGAGAGAAGGCAAATCACCGATCTCCATCACAGGCATCGAAGGCAAATCAAACTCCATCGACGAACTCACCTTCAAATTCCCCTCACTCTGGTGATAATAAATCGCACAAACACCACACATCTGAGTGAAAAACGCAGCCCCTGGAATCCCCAATCGCTGAGCCACGTCGAGACACCACGGCATGATGGCATCGTAGACGAGCACTATCGGAGGATCACTGGAGTTCCTGTGTTTCTCTGCTAGTTCGATTAGGTTTTGCGATACGACGGTGATGAAATGGTTTAGATGAGAGTGAATGTTGTCGCCGAGTTCGCCGGAGTTGAAACCGTCGTGGATGGACTCAATTTGGATTGAGTTTGAGCCGCCGGAGTGGATGTGCATGGAGTTGCTGACTGAGGTGGTGGTGATGAGGGTGACTTTGAGTCCTTTTGAGGATAAGCGTTTGGAGAATTGGAGGAGTGGGTTTATGTGACCTTGTGCTGGGAATGGGAACACTAGTATATGCTTTTTACTACCCATTTCTTTTCTCCTCTTCTTCCTTGTTCTTCTCTGTTCACCAATTCTGCATATTTGTATTTGTAGGAGAACAATTTTGAAAATTAGTTCTCCACACAGAATGTATGGAGAGGATTATTGGACACCACCCTTCATATTTATTGGATTTATCTACGTGAGAAGGTCTCATTTGTCAAGCCTCTTTGGGCAAATATATTTTTTTAGGGAGATGCACCAATAAATCTCAAATTTTCATTTTATGATCCAGTTAGTCTTAACTTTTATCTTATAAATTAATAGGTCCCAATCAAGTGTTAATGACCAAATAATCCATGTTCCCCTACTTGTGAAACCATGTCGTAAGGGTAAATGTGGAATCCTCCTAAAGTGGAATTTACGTCTATGCCCAAACCCTTACTGTATTAGTTTTTGTTTTCCCTTTGAACTGATCAAAATGGAAGAGACGTAGATGGAAAGGTGTGTATTGTCTGATGTTAATGGCGTAATGTTGGGTAGGGCACATCACGATTCGTAATTGGCAGCGTAGAAAGGTAGACTGACTGATGATGGCGTAAACCACGGCAGTGCAAACCCAGGAAAACAACACCACAAAAGGTAGACTGACGACAAATGCTGGTCTCCGAAAAAAATGTCACCCAACACATGCAATATCCTCGTATTCTCTCTCCCAAAAGAATGAGTTCAATGTTAATCAATGAACATTCCAACCCACACGTTAACATTTTCTTATCCAATAAAAAACGGAATCAATCACCTAGAGAATCAATCACACAAAGGGTATTGATGTAAAACCAAATCTATTCAAATTACCACAAAAAAAACTTGCCAAAAAATTAGGACTAAATGGTGTACAAAAAAAACTTCCAGAACTAAATGGTTTAATGTTTCTCCATATAAGATTTATGGGTAATTTTTCCATTTTTTTAACACGTTCTTTTGAAAAAGGTTTTAAAAAAATTAAAAATGAGCTTTTAATTTATTTCTCAAAACAACTTTAAAATAATTAAAAAGAAAATTGACCAATAAATCTTATATTTTAAATTTATAATCTATATAATGTCATATTTTTTCTTATGATCCATTTAGTCCATTTGAATATGTAATGACTCATTTGCCCGTTGTAATGGAGTGTTACATTTAGAAAAATTATATTTAAAAAAAAAAATTAGTATCACATCATACCCATCACGTTAGAGTGTCACATTTATAAAAATAAAAAAAATACACTAAAGAGTTTTTAATTTTTTTAGAGTGTCACATCATACTCGTCACGTTGAAGTGTTACATGTCACGTTTGAAAAAAGTACACTAATGAGTTTTTAATTTTTTTTAAAATATCACATTATACCCGCCACATTATCACATTTGAGAAAAGTACACTAAGAAGTTTTTATTTTTTTTGAAATGTCACATCATACCCGCTACGTTATCACATTTAGAAAAAATACACTAAGGAGTTTTTAATTTTTTTAGAGTGTTGCATTGTTAGAGTATCACATTAATACATGTCACATTGGAGTATCATACCATACCTGTCACATTAATAAAATAGTATAGTTGTCTACCAAAACACTATCAAAATCAAAAATAAGACTACACGGAAAAAATCTCTTCACTAATAAGACTAACCGATCAATAAAAAAAACTTTAGACTAATTGAAGTATTTATTTATGAGGTGGGATATATTGATAAGTGTCCCTAATTAAAAAGTTGTTATATTATCTTTTTTATTTTTTAATCTCTTTTTTAGATTAAAAAAATCAATTAAATTAGTTACATCCAGACGAGGCTGAGTATGATCAAAAATTGGAAAAGAAAACACAACCTGCATTTTATTGATATTGTAGTTAGGTAATGCTATGGGATAGGTAAGTTATGACATTTGTAGAGTTAATTCATACAAATATCACAACTTAATCTTATAAGAGTCATATAAATTATAACTGAACACTATATAAGGTATATAACCAATGATTTCTTAAATTATAACCAAAATAATGTCATAATCTGTTAGACTTATTTATTTTGATGATTTATTTAATTTTGTTTTAATAAAATTCAAAATTTATTTTGATGATTTATTTAATTATGTTTTAATAGAATCAGAAATTTATTTTGATGATTTATTTAATTATGTTTTAATTTATTTGAAAAAGAAACATAGAATCAAAATTTATTTTGTCCCATTATTTCTCATCTAAAATTTTATCCTAAATGTTGTTAAAATGTATTTAATATTTAATTAAATCAGGAGTTCAAATAGCCCAAAACAGAGGTTCAAACAACACAGCACAGCAACATGCCAGAAGATTTAAACAGCTCAGCACAGCAGCAGGCCAAAAGGATCAAGTGGAAGATATTCAAATTAGTAATGATGGAGTGGAAGATATTCAAATTAGTAATGATAGAGTACAACGGTTATAAATTCAAATGAATACAATAGCTATAAGTTTCATTATATATACCAAAATCTCTAATGTAAACAAGTGACAAAAAAAAAATCAGAAAATATTCTTTGATCTATAATCACTCACATCTATTCTCTGAAAAATTCTATGAGAAGTGTTCTTCAATTTTTGTTTACATCCTCTCTCAAAAATTATACACTGAGCCTTATAGCATTAAGCTTGTCTTTCCTGTGTGAGGTTTACAGAAAATCCAAAGCTTCATTTTTATATCTATCTTTTAGAGATAATTCTTGTAACTTTTTGTGAAAGCAAAAACACATTCTTTTCAACCTTGTAAGAGTGTAGTACACTCAGTGTTCTTGACTTAGAAAGTTTGTGTAAAATTTGTGGTGGATTGTTCCATCTTTGAAAAGGTTGCTAGCACCCTGTGAAGGTAGAATATAATGGAAAATCTCAAGTAAAGCTTGAGAAGTGGACGTAGGCCGAGTTGAAGTCGAAATTATTAACTGACATAGTTGTTAGAATACTTGTTTTAATTATTTTTATTTCATTAACTATATTTATCTATTGTGTTAGTCGTAATTTTTATTAGAGTATTATTATTTTTATTTGTAAAAATCTAATTTATCCCCCCCCCCTCTTAAGTTATTTTTTGGATAACATAATCAACATTATAATAAATCATAACTAACAAATGTGTATATAGTACAGAATTTCCCTTTATTATAAGACTTAGGCCTGGTTTGGCTTATACTATATAAGTCAAAAAGTCAAAAAATTATTCCAAAATCTAAAAAGATATCACTATTCACCAAAAAAAAAATTTTAAAAATCAATTTTCTTCCCAAAAAGTACAATTTGAATTGATGTAAAGCAGCGGCTGTGCAGCAAAAATGAAATGATTCGGTGTGATTTTCACACACACCGTTGTTCGTCCCATGGGGTCATTACGGGTCCCGTTTTGATAATCTGAACCGTTCAATGTGTAGAAATCGTCGAGTACTATATGTCTGCAAAAAATCACATTGATCGGATATCGATAACTATATGATCAAATCAGTTATATACAACAAATGGATGGTGTTATAATTAATGATTGAAAAATAAATAAATCTGATCAGATAGCTATCGATATCCGATTAATGTGATTTTTTATAGGTACTTAGTGTTCGACGAGTTACACACATTGAACGGTTCAGATTATTAAAATGGGACCCGTGATGACCCCCACGGGTCAAACAAAACCGTCCAATGCTTTGTACAAAAATTAGCCAATAATTTCCAACTCAAATTACACAGCCGGTTGAACAGCCGATTGTACGGCTGGGGCCCACTCCTCTCTTATCATCTCTTACACACTTTTTTTTATATAATTTTTTAATAGACATTTTTCCATAAAAAGTCAAAAAATTAACCTAAACCTCCATATTTTTTTTTTTTTGTCTTTTTTAGTCCAAAAAGACAAAAAGTGCACTTTTTTAGGACACCCCAAACCAACCCTTATTGAATTCATATTTTAATTAGCACACGAGTTTATTCAAACTCGTGTATTGAAAACACAAAATCAATTAATATTTTATAAAAAATAGTATTAGAAAATAGGATTTCAAATTTTATAAAATAATGAGTTTAAGAAAACAAGTTTAAAAATAAACGCGTCAATTTGGCATGTCACGCCATGAACGTCGCGATCTTCAACCCAAGTTGCGTATAGTAGATGAGATAACTTATTTCCAAAGAAATATATAAAAACAAATGTGTGTGTATATACATATATATATAGTAGAAGTTAAATAATGTTTTAAAACATTCAATAGACATCATTGCTTGTCTAAGCGGGCCGGCCCTAATCCTTCGTATAAAATTTAAAAAAAAAAAATTAACATATGACCTTAGTGGAAACATTAATTATCATCTGAACGGTAATTAGTTTCCAAGAAATTAATGTTGTAGCTGCATTTAGTACATTTGTAAAGAAGCATACTCAAAACATTTGTTATCAATCCTTCGATGGATGTCCTATTTCTTCACGAGGAGAGTAAGAGGATAATCATGGCTTTCGATACATGGGCTCCACCTAACTCTATGAATGGGAATGGTTCAGCCTCCCTAGCGCAACTTGTATATGCGACAAAGTTGACACATTTCTTGCAGCAATACACCCAAGTTTCTGGATCTCTCTCCTTCTCACAAGCACCACAGTAGTGCTCATCTGCTTCCTCTTCAACATGATGGTACTTGAGGGTGAGTCATGCCTGCGCGATTGATTTTTCAGTGAGGTGTCAGGACTAGGAGAGCACACACTACATGGAGAGCAAAGTCACATGGGGGATTTGGTGATAGCCCCCTCACTATCTAATTTGTCTTTCAAAAGAACAAGAATTATATAAGTACTTTCAAAACCCCCTAATATTTTAAAACTTGTTTCTTTTACTATATTACCCTCATATCTATCAGCTCTCCTATTAAGTCATCTTCACTATATATTTCAGAGTAAAATTTTACTCTGTATGAAAGTAAAATTTTACTCTGAAAAACGAGTAAACTGTTAGACTCTA